GGGAGAGAGAGAGAGAGAGAGAGAGAGAGAGAGAGAGAGAGAGAGAGAGAGAGAGAGAATGCAGGGCTTGACTGACAGTCACGCCCGCCGCCGGCGAGCCTATGGGAAGGAGAGAGAGGGAGAGAAGGAACAGTGAGAGAGGGGGGTGGGGAGAATATGGGTGGGATGTATATAGCAAATGAGACGGGAAGAATCTTGGACATGAAGGGAACGGACTAGAAAGTATGATGGAAAGGCGTAGACGCGCTCGGCGAGATCAGGTGGGAAGAATGGGTTGAAAGATGAGGGTTGAAGAAGGATTGGGGCAGGTGGATGTCGTGGTCGGGGGAAAAGAGGAGTGGGGGGCGGGGGGTCACAGCCTGTTGCGCCTCATTGATTGAATTGTCACGTGCGGGCGGGTCGCGCGGCGGGGGCACGAGACACCTGTAAGAGCGCGGGCTGATGGTGAGGACCAAGGAAGGAAAGGCGTGCATACAGGCTGAGAATAATAAAAAGAAAATCTTAGTTTAAGACAGAAAGGCAGAGGTTTGCATTATTCTACACCCTTATTTCCCGCTCACTTTATAACAAACGGCGCTCATCATAGAGAAGGGCGTCTCGTATCAATTACATTATTATTGACTGTGCTGCTTGACATAAGCACTATGATGATTACATACGATGGATTAGATTTCAATCACGGCATCCACCCACCATCTGATGGACTGTAAGGCAAACGCCTTGCACGCGAAATTCCCCCGACGGATCTGATCCGAAATCCTCCCCCCCCCCCTCTTTATCTCGCTCTCTCTTTCTCAAATCCACAACTTGCTCTTCGAGACGTATTTTTGGAACTTTTCCATTGCGCTTGCGTCTTAACACCCCTTTCAAGTCACATAAAGATCTCGCCACTTTGAGCCGCCTCGTCTTATTGCTACTTTGCTCTATGATAGACGTGGACGGCTATGGCGGCTCGCTGTACAGTACAACGCAGCGCCGTGTAATTGGACCTCAATTAATCACTTGAGAGAGTAGCAATTACTCGGTAATTACTCCATTACTATTATACGGAGAGGACCGTGTCAACGTTTGATTTAATGCGAAGCCGAGCAGCAGGCAAGTCGAGAGGACATGGTGGCCGCGCTGCATGAGGCGTCGTGCGCGATTGTTTGGGAATCATCGTACGTAACAACGGTAACAACCGCAGATACGCATTCTTTTTGTTTTTATTTTTAAATATATATATATATTTGGTACATGTTTTTGTTTCCCGTCTTCCGGCCGACGCTCGCTCCGCGCCCGTCGCCCGTGGTCGGTCGTTCGGTCAGCGCCCACTCGTTCGGTGCAAAGCAAAACGGTAGAGCCGAGCCAAGAGGCCCGTGGAGGCGGCGGCGGGGCAGGTTGTTGTCCACCCGGCGGCGGCCGTCAGCAGCGAGATGCGGATGCTGCGCTTCAGGGTGTACAAGAGACGGGGAGGGGGGGGGACCCTTTAAGCTGTCGGCGCGTCAGCCTACAATTATAGCGTTTGGTGCAGTTATGACTTGTTACACACCGCCTGTCCAGCCACTGATGGAGACGCTGCCGGAGGCGGCGACGGCGACGACGGCGTCGTGCCTGAGGCCACACACGGTTCCCGGACACGAGCTACTTTTCTTTTTCACCGCCGCCCGTGAACCGTAAAAAAATGCACGCCATTTTAAGGTTTTGGGGAAGGACAGAATGCGGCAAGCGATCTGAGGGAATACTAGTCGACACAAAGATCCCATCTCATCACCTGGTTAACTCTGGTTATGTTGTTCTTATATTCCACTATTTAAAACAAAACGGGTAAATCACAACCTATCAAAAAGGGATTCTTTTACCGTCGGGTACAGTATAGATAGACATTATAGACTGCGTCTAAAACTATGACGACACGGCATAACCACAGTTTCATAAAACATTTTATTCGTAAAACCTACGATGGTTTCCTTACAGAGTCCCTCCCTCGCCTTGAGTATACACGCACCGCGAGGTGATCGCCAGGCAGGTATGAGTAAAATGGTTAAAATTGCTGGCCGGCCGGCCGGGCTGTTAAACGCGGGCGGCGTGTGTTTTAATTTCGTATTAGAGTGTCGTGGCCAGCACCTGGAGGGCCGCGTCCGAGGCGCGCACAGAGTGCTGGCGCAACCCGCCTGCAATTTCGGAAGTATCTTTGCAGCGTATCCTCCTTCGACTAATTTACGGTTTGCTTTATATTACTTTATACACCATATTTCGAGGAAAGCGTTCGTCAATCACTGGAGGGGTCGGGACTTTGAGAACTGGTTTCAACGCCGTTATTTAAACGTTCAGATTGCGCCCCGGTTTTCCGGCGAATTACGCGTGAAATGTGACATACATAAACGCGGCGGTTTGTGTAAATGTATTTTCTTTTCCCGTGAGTGTATCCCTGCGCCCGTCCGAAGTGTGGGTCTTGGCACGGGGTCCCGCTACCGACACCCGACATGACAGCTGGTTAAGTTGTCACCCAGGCTATCGATCAATGGGCCCGCTCTGCGCGCGCGGCGTGGCGTGGCGCGGCATTCGATAGCTCGATCGGTCCGGATACCCCGAGGCGAAGAGAATAGTCGTACGAGTAGGGCATCAGTCGTCAGAGTTGCCGTTTTCTTTTGTTCTCCGGGGTCCCTTCCCGGAAAGTACACCGGAGCGGCCTCGAGTAGTCGTACGAGTCGTCACGGGTCCTCTCGGGGTCCCCCAAAATGAGTCGTATGAGTCGTAGATAGTCGTGAGAGTTGGCACGGCGTGGCGGAGTGTGGCGTACTGCCCCCCCCCCCACCTCCTCTACCTAACTCCCCTCCCACAACTCCTCTCGGACTTGTGATTTCGCGAGCCAATCGTCGAAAATTTTCTAAGTGTCGGTCAAAATTTGTCACTTCCCATGCCAAGTTGACTGGACGTTTCCAGTAGTTGTGAACACCATATCAAAAGATGGGAACACATTTTTTTGGTAACTTTATGCACTTGGGTTGGACTTAGCCATTTTCGTGCGTCTCCCCACTACCCTTATTTATTTCTAAATGTCACCAAAATTATTAAACATCTCATGTAACGTTGTCTGGGTGTGTCGCGTTATGGTAAACAACATATCAAAAGGTAGAAAACTTTTTGGCGCAATGTGCTCTTACAAGTTTACGCTTCGCTGTACGTTTAAATTCGCGCGATTCACGCGCGCTTCACCCGGAAAACTGGCAGGACGGAAGCCGGCCGGCAGCCGCAGCCTAACCTGCAACTTGGCCATGTGCTTGTCGTGTTGTTTGTAAACAGAGTCAGTATTTTCTCAGATTTTTGTAGTTTTTAACAATTTCTCAAAGTTTGAGTTATTTTCCCTTATTCACTTGGGTATAGTGAGTTAGTAGAAATGTTAGCAAAGCGATTGAAAAGACCGAATTGTTTAAAACAAATCAAATCTGAAAGCCAACCCCCTGCAACTCTCAAGAGAAGTTTTCTTCCAATCTTTTCACACAACTTTGTAATAGTCAAGGCTACCCTCAGTTATTTTAGTGGTTTTAGTATTGAGTGCATTTCAAGAAACAACATGCAGAGAAAAGTGTTGAACTTCTGTGTGGACCCAACCTGATCTACACTCTGGCAGTCACAAGGTATGTACTTACTTGCATTGTAGCACTAAGTGTGTTTGCTTTCTTTGCTCTTTAGAGTCATGCCTTAACAGTTCCCTGAAAAAGGCCCATGTCTAATGTACATTTTAAAAGAGTTTAACTATTATATTGATCTGTTCTTAGGGTATCGACCTGCTAAACTTTTCAAACAACATGAAGCGGCCCAGCCAGTATGAAAGATGAGACCAACTTTATGAAAATAGGTGAGTTGATCTGGAATGTTTACCTATTACATTGGAAATGATAGTTTTTTTTTGTATCTACATAAATAGTTAGTGGTGCATGCTGTCACTTTAAGAAATATTTGAAATAATTTTTTCGGTTGCAAATTATAACATTACATTTAATTTATTCGCCTCTTAAATTTTGCATTGTTAGGAGTGATACGTTTTAAAAATAATGATTAGTCAGAATATGTAACGTAGATTTATGCTAATCATCAGTAAAGAAACCTTCACTTTACTGTTATCAACTGATGTATTCATAGAAAACTGATTTTTTATTCAGATGTGATAGCTGAGTTATATTTTTGTTCGAACCAAGGTGTTGGAAAACATCTAACTGTTACTAGGAAATTATTATTGTATTGCAATTACCATAACAGCTGTTTTTTAGGTTCAACATATTTAGCAACTTTCCGATCAGTCTTAGGCCGTTAATTGTGGAGGAATAGATTGTACCCCGTTGACCCTGTGCGTAAGAAATATTAGGGTGCATGTCATCACATGTTTGAATAAATACCAATAGGCTAGTTATCCTGGAGCTTTAACCAAAAAGTCAGACTTTTATCATTTGCCTCAGTATTTGATACTCATCCCAGTAAAAGGACTTTATTTTTTATTTATGAAATGTTCCTCAAACCATCTCAAATATTTTTGGTAAAACCTCCAGTATAACTTACCAAATGGCATTTAAGAAAATATCTAATATTTCTTAAGCATACTGAAAGGTGAAAGAAGTGGTAAGATTGAGTGAGACAAAAAAGAGATATCGAACTTCCTTACCCAGTTTTTTTTTTTACTTAGGGGGTCGGGGGTCTAGTCTGGTGCAGATTTTTTTTCTAGTTCTATTAATGTTAATGTTACCAAACGTTACAAAAAGTCATTGGACAACCTTGTTATTAGCAAAAAAAAACAACCTTCAAGAAGGGTCTTATTTGAACTCCAGCTTGCACGCAACATTCTTTCTGAACCTAATGATTTAAAAACTCCCCGTAGTGTTCAATTACATCAGAATATCTAAATCTGTTAGTTATGAGAGCCCTTATTAATAGTTTTTACCACAGATAAGTTTTGATCTATTACGTTCAACCAAAATATAATGAGGAGGCAAAACGGAAAAGAACTTAATCTTCCAGGGTCAAAAATCATGGTGGGGGACTCTTATAATTTATAGGTTTCAGGCTCCTGATTTTAATAAAAGTAACGGAGAGCTTGTAAGCCAGTATGTTCAGAGGGACTATTGTGCGCAATCTTAAATTCTAGTAAGTTTATTTTAAGTGGTTTTTGGCTAGTAACTATGGTTTCCCATGACTTTTTCAAGCTTTTGGGAACAATGAAATCAGAACAGTTTTCTGCATGAGAAGTCACCATATTTTTTAGCAATCAAGCCATTTTGATTATTTTTGATTTTGGACTCATAAACTGCACTGTGTTTATAATTTTTTTTCATTTTAGCAGTCCTCCCCCCCCCCCTTTTTCCCTTTCCCCCCGGCTCACCCAATAGATCTTGGGATGTTTTCCAATACTTCATTAGTTTAAACACATGGACATTGTTTTAACCAATTGTCAAATTCTCATACTCACTGTCACTATTTTTATTCTTCTTACTCATTTTGATGAATTCGCACTTTTTTACTAAAGTATACTAACACTACTTTACTTAATGAAGATGTTTTTCTTTCTCGTTTCAGCTATCATCAAAGGTACCAGTTCTATCTATCAAGAAAGTCCATACTTCTGCGATTATTTTTAATTTTTTTAGCCACTCCTTACAACAGGAATATTTGTGCTTCTACACTTAACCTTTTGTATACCTAGACAACTTCTGTATTGATCTGTTGTTCGATTTATCAATAAATATGTTAATTTTGTTTTAATTATGTATTCCATTATTTATAGCAGTGCACCTGTGAGCGAGGGGAAGGCGGGGAGGGG